CCGATGGAGGGGTGAAGATTCAAGAACAAGAGGACAGAATTGCTGGAGGGATCAACAGCAAAGAAGTCCATAGACGTCTGGAACGGGGGACTGATGTCCAGAGATCAAATTGAAAGTTCCGGAATTTTCGGAGATTGATCACACAGAGCAAGTGCGACCGGAAGGGAGCAAACGGCAGCGGATGGTGCTGAATGAATCCCGGGAATCAACCTGAGGGACTCCGAAGGACCGAAATTGACTCCGGAATGGGAACCAGGACCGGAGTAGACTCCGGGCATGGGATAAGACCCGGAGACTGTTACGGGCAACGGAACAGGTCGAAGGGAGAGGATGAAAATTTTCTGAACGCTGAAACAGCATTGCCAAAGGGTTGGGAAAGGCAAATGAAGAGTTTGGAGGCAATTTGAAGCAGGCATCACAAGCCATAGTCACCAGATACCGGATATGGCCGGTGCAAAGCGATAACGCAACCTAGTGCTGTGATGGTGATGTCCAAATTGATCTGAACCCGGACTGAGAAAGGTTCAAAATTTTCAGAGGTGCTCAAAGGATAACAGTGAGCACATTGAAGCTCCCAGCTGAAACCTGAGCGTTCCGGAGTTACTGCGGGGACTGCAGCAAGCGACCGGAGTGAGGAGTGGTTGAGTTCCAGTGGTCCGGGATCGAAGGACCGGAAAACAACCGGAGTTCAGCTCCGGAAAAACCGGAGTGGAACGAGGAGGTGGAGTATGAGCAATCCAGCTCCAAGGGGTGCCAATGAGTCGAAAAGAAAGGTGTAGAAAACCGGAGTGGTGACGAGAACTCTCCGAAGGCGAGGCGAAAGTTGAGAATGCGGGCTCGGTGGAAGTAATCGGGTTAGGATTCCCCGGTGAGCTCTTATACATTTTGTTCAACGTAGCTGTTGCTGCAAGAGAGATTCAAGTCGATAACCGGAATTTAAAAACCAACCAATCGACTGGGCGGGATGAACAGGAGGAAGATGAAAGGGGATAAGAACGTGGACCAGAGGTCAGACGTTCCGGAAGAAACCAATCCAAAGAGCAACAAAGACAAGATGTCGAGTTGTCGAAGGATGGTGAAGCGGGGATGCTTCGGGGTATATCCGGAGGCATTAGCCAAACCGGAGTGGTGCCCGAGAGGAACAAGGCTTGTAGCCGAGATTCCGGAAACGAGCGGAGTGACGACCGGAGGAATTGCGAAAGTCCGGAACAGAGGCGCGGTGGAAAGCTATCGATGAAGATGCTTCCGGTGAGCTCTTATCTGTTCAGGTCAAGCGCCGTGGCAACCAGAATGTCGTCCGGAGCGAGGACAAGGCCTGACAAGCCCTAGAACCGGAAAGAACGCCCGAGGACAAAGTCCGGGATTTGGGCGCTGGCATCAAAGCCACAAGATATCCATAGAAGGATCGGGACTGGTGGTTGTCGCAAAATATGGCGAAGACAGTGATCGGAGTAGAACCGGGGCCAACCGGTAAGAGTCCGGACTGTCCTTCCGTAACCGGAAAGGCCATAACAGGATTCAAGCTTTATGCTTGAGGTGTGCGCGCACAGGGTCAAAGAAGATGTGGGGTAGCGGATTATGTTGCTTTTCAACCTTGCAGCTCAACGGAGCGCGGGCGGTGACATAGCAAGATCCGGGTTTTCCTGCAAGTTCGGAGACGTCGCAGGGGTGACAAGGGATGCAAGTCCTGTGACTTTTAGTCAACAGGAAATGATCACCACCAGGGTATAGAGTCCGGATAGACCGGAGATGGGTGGGATGTGAACCAGCGGCAAGCTGGTAATATTCCCGTGGTCGTGAGGGTCGTGGGAAAATGGGCCAGACAATAGTCCGGAATCCATCTGGGGCTGCACAGCAGCTACCAGAATGGGTAGAAGTCGTTAGGAATGGATAAATGGAGCAAACAGAGTCTGCAACCACCCGGAACCTCAGAGAGGCGACCGGAGTGGGTAGAAATCGTGGGAGAAGACTCCGGAATGCACTGGAGTGAGTAGGAGTCATGGGAGAAGACTCCAGAGTGCACCGGAGTTCACTCCGGACCGTACAGGCAACCGGAGTGGATGGAAGTCGTGATAAGGAAGTCCGGAATTCAACCGGAATACGCCCGGGGCCACAAGGGCAGCCGGAGTGCAGCGAAGTCGTAAGGGGTCATGAGGGAATGAGTGGAAGTGCAAGGATCAATGGATGTTGATCACCGGAGTTGTTGTCCGGAATCCAGATACACAAGCACAGCGGTGAGAGGACTATCTGCATGCATGATGACACAGCAAGCAGATGAGGCCAGACAGAGGATCCGAAAAATACTGTTATATCGCTGAGCCAAGAGGGAAGGAATATCCGATCATATGACCGGAGCCGGGCTAAGCCGCGAACCGGAGATGAACGGATGTCTAGATCAGCCACTTCTCGGAACACCACAACTCAGCTAGGGTGACCGACTGACTGGCCTCGGGCTGCGAGATGGGGAAGTGTCCTATGCCAAGGTCCGAGTCGTACGAGCTCGAAGATGGCGACGGGACAGGGATAGCCTGGACCGGAGACACAAGAGCATAACCGGTGTTTGTTGGGTAGTCGTCCAGCGCAGTTCCGGTGCGAACCGGAACGGTTGACATGAAGAAGAAGCAAAGGCAGTCTGCTGGAGCGAACTAGAGGCATATCCAAGACACGGGAGACAACCCGGAGTTGAACCGCAGTTGTTGGTATGGCCGAGCGAGGACTCCGGAGTTGTGACCGGAAACCGGAGTGACCGGAGTCACAGGAGGGAACCAGAGGGAGACGGGAGCAAGGCCATAGAGAGGGAGACGTCGAGAGGCAATGACCAGAACCTCAAGAGACGATTGGCAACAGTCCATGAGAAGGAAGCATGGATAACTTTTATTTTTCGGATACTGTACAAGATGTAAAGTACCGGTATTTATACTGGGGGCAAGTAATTAGCACAAAAGGGAATAAGTAACATGAGGCAAAGTGAAGCAACATGAAACGAAGTGAACCACATGGAAGAAGACACTACCATGTGGCAGAAGATATGAAGTGGGAGTAAGGAATGAATGGGAAGTAAAGAAAGGGGAAAGGTAGAGCATATGGTTTGATAGATGAACGGATGGATAGAAGAGTGATAAGATGTAAGTGCTATGACATCTGCCTTGAGGCAGATGAAGAAGCGATGGAGAATGATGGGAATGTGATGGAAGCGTGAAGCATATGGAAAGATAAGAAGGAGAAGTGATGAGAGCGTTGAAACAATAGATGAGAAGTGATAAGGGATGCATAAATGGAAGAGGAGTTGATAAGGCATAATAGCGAACGTTCCGGGGAAGAGTCTGATGACTCCGATGACTCCGGGTATCTCCGGATTCCGGAGATATGTCCGGAGCGACTGGAACGAGAGCAGGAGTGATGGGGCATAGATGAATAGCGCATAATTGTACCAGATGTTGGACTGGCATGTTGGTAGTCGAGATGAACGAGTTCCAAGGTACTGGTTGTTAAGTGTTGGTGGTTTTGGGAGCTCCGGGTCGCCGGAGTGGACACAGTTGCAAGGAATCATTCCGGAGGACATTGGCAGTCCTTTAGGAGAGTTCCAATGCATAGAGGCAGAGGTCCGAGACGACATGGGTGAAGAGGAGCTGAACCAAGGAACGTGGAGGACCGGAGTTCGGAGTGATTACATAATCACAGTCCGGAATGTACCAAGGAGTGCGGAGGTGCCACAGCCTGTATCACAGTGAAGGACCAGTGCGAAGTACAGGTGGAATGTTCAGGTAGAATGTTCCGGGGCGATATGGATGAACCGCAGAGAACCGGTCAGGGCTGGATGACTAGTCCAGAGGTTCCGGGATTAACCAGGATGACCGGAGGGTGAACGGGGTGAGGAGTGAGGCTGGAGGTGGCCAAGAAGGTAAGGTAATGAAAGCGAAGTGGATGATAAGGAGGAAGTACTCAGCAATCCATGATTGGACGAGAGCTATGTATTTCAGGATAGGTCCGGGAACAGGTGAACCATAGATCAACTGGAGTGAGCTGGAGTGGTGCTGGAGTATTACCGGAGTGGTGCAGGGTCTGATGTAGTGCGTGATTGTGTGTCCAGAGGTGACGGGAGCACAATCAGAGTTGGATTGAGTGCGACCAGAACCGATAAATGGGAAAAAATGAAAGACTGATTTGCACAGACATAACAGGCAACTGGCTTATTGGATCTGCGAATATGACCGGCTCGGGCGTGCTCCAACCTTGAGAAGAGATAATGAATGAATGAAAAAAAAAATGCCTTCGACCCTGCTATGGTCTGACCCCGAGTCGAACGAGGGACTTCCTCAGAGCACAATTACAACCTATCAGCATATGAGGATATGTAACCGCTACACCACCAGACCATGGCACCTTCCAAAAATTATATACCTATGTGCATGCATCAACAGCATCGTCCGCAAGTGAGTTGGGTTGAATTTCGACCTTCCAACCAAACCGACACTTGAGTTGAAGGCAACTGGCACTGTGTTGAAGTTATTGGATCTGCAAATATGATCATGAAACTCTCTCAGTTAGCAGCAGTACATGATGATGATACAACAGGAAATGACCGAACGGTGCGTTGTGCTCGTTCCGGCCGCCTCGAGCTTCGGGCCCTCGTACGCCGTCGACAGTCCACTTGCCCAGGACCGTCCACACCCTGGACGAGGTTTCGGCTCGCCACCATGAATATTGCGTCGGAAAATCCACCCCAACGCCCGTTTTGTCCTCGACAACGACGAGCGGACATGCCGCCGATTGCGCGCTGGAATCCCCGCGCCGCCAAATTCCTGGCCATCCGCGCCTCGCAGCCCCCACTCACCTCGCGTGCTGCCTGCGCCCGTCACCCGCCTTGGCAGGAAAACTGCAGATCGACATCATGCGCTCACGAGACGATTCGCCCGCTTGCGGAAGGAGTTAATCGAGCTCAATACAAATATTACTCGCCTACACGACACCCACGCCATCCTCGCGCCCACCATTATCGCCAGCGTCATCCACCATGCTGAGCGCGCATCCAGCCTATACCGCACTCTGCGTGCTGCTGTCTCTGCCGGCTCCATTCCCGATACCTTCTCCTCCATCTCGACTTCGCTTCATTCCCTGGAGCTCCCGACGCCTCCCCGCGTCCCCTCGTCGACCCTGGTGGATTTTTTCGGCGCATGATTCGTCAGCAGGTCATGTGGTACTTTGTAGTCGGTCATGTGCACCCTCGGGGTTTTGCGGCTCATTTTTTCTTTTTCTTTTTCTTTCTTCTATTATTTATCTACGGCCTACCGCGGTACATGTACCGTCAGCTATCATGTAGCATAGGTAGCGTTTACTATCGTAACAATCGTAACATATGCATGTACAGCGCGACGGCCCGAAGTTACATCATCGAACCCGGCTGATCGGAACATTTCGGGCTGTCAGTTCCTCTTTTCTTTCAATCATCGATACGGTTTCCCCGACGGCGTTGTATGCGCTGTGATGTTCCTCTTCCCGCGCACTACTGCACTCACCAGACGCCCAGTACTCCGCGACCACGAGGACTCCCTCTCTCGGACTCGGACTCGAACTGGACATCCACCGCGGTGAACGGAATGAAGTGCACGTCCCCCCCTTCTCGATCTTTCGAATCGGAATTTCCGCCACAAATATTCTTCAAGTTGCGAACCCCGAAATAGCCTGAGTGCACCCTTGAATCGGTATTTTTCTCTTGGTCATGGTTCATTCCGCCGGTTTGTCGCCTGCGGCCTTTCTCGTTCCCGATCGCGATCGCGATTGCGATATCTGAATCTGAATCTTGCACCTCGGACAGACAGCACAAGCCGCTTACTCGGGACTCGGAAGCCAACTGTAGTCACGGCTGTCAAATTTTCGTCGAACTCGGAACCCAAGTCACTCCAACGAGCGCACGACGCCTGGTTGGTTCCCGCCCTGAGATGGATGCAGAAGTCGGAATCGGTTCGATTGGACTCACCTGGATTCTCCCATGATGATGGTAAATCAAGTCCCAGAAACAGCGCTCCTGATTTCTAACACTGGAATCGACTTGGTTTACTAGCTATTCCTGCATCGCACCTCCTCAACCGTGTCCCATTATAATATCCCTCCGCTTTCCACCTATCTCAATAGAATTATCCCCGATTCCAACGCAGGGGGATGTGAATTAATAGTAGGAACTGCGCGTTGTTATCCGAACGGCGTACGACCAAAAATGCTACAACCGAAAACTAGCACTGCCGGCCGAATAAAACGACCGAAAAAGCATCACGATGCAGACATTTTCCCAAGGGGCATCCTAGCAAAGAGAATCCGAGGAAGACAGTGTAAGGGAGCCGAGAATGAGGCATCTCGACGACGTGATTCAAAAGGAGTTGAATGTTGACGGAGTTCTGCAAGTTTCAAGCTTCTCCAAGTCGTACGCGGTAGTTATTGAGCTCTTTTGCCAAGTTCACCGACAAGGACTTTCCCGCGCATTCTCTCATCCACCAGCGTAATTCCCGCAAAATTCGCATCAACCCCAAATCCAGTCAGACAACCCGCCTACTCGAGTATTTTTTATTGTCTTGTATGCTCGTGCGGCCGCTGCAGCTTATTTAAATTGAATGCAGTAGAGCGCCTAAATTCCGCCGTGAGGTCAAGAAAGCACGCCCTGTGCGCTTCAAACGCGGGCAACTCCTCTCTTGCTTATGACAGACAGTTGTCGAGAGACGGAAAAGAATAGACTGGCCTAGCCCCGAGTCGAACGTGGGACTTCCTCAGAACATTTTTCATTGCAAACTATTGGGGGAAGTGCACTCGGGCACATCACCGAGGTTTGAAATGACTCACGGAATTGTAGGACTCACCTAGAATCAGAGGCAGTCAGTAGGAGGGAAGGAGAAGAACCTGGAATACTATGGAACAATTTGGTTATGACTCAACTGGACTCTAGAATTAGTATAAATACAGTAGATACAGAGGGAGAATCCTCACGAGCTTGTAACCCTGGCTTCACCGCCCTCGTGTAAATCTAAGAATTGATTGCACCAATATCTGAGTGAATTAAGGAAAGAATTCCTTCAAGCATAAACTCCATCACAAACTATATGTAGAGGACATGTAACCACTACACCACCAGGCCGTGATTGGTTTGAGACTTTAGCCCGAGCTGACGTGGGTCTCAAGTTGCAAGTGGGTGTGTAAAAAGATTTTATGACTGGGAATTTGCTAGTCAGAAGTTGCATGGTGCAACTGCATGCACCAAAAGTGGCTCAAAGTGCAATATCTTTCCCTGCTTTTAGTTAAACCCAGTTTTTATGCCACAGATGTACACCGCCAGACCGATTCTATCTTGCCGTCTAATCATTTAGGACAATCATAATTTTATGGTTCTAGTACGGTGTGATGCCATAAAGAAAAAATACTCAGCCGTGCTCCAATTCTTGATTCAGAAATTATGAACGAAAGAAAAAGAAAAAGGTCCAACTGGACATTGGAATGGTCTGACCCCGAGTCGAACGGGGGACTTCCTCAGGACATAATTATTACCTACCTAATGCATGAAGACGTGTAATCACTACACCACCGGACCATGGCACCATTCCGCCCTTCCAACAATTACCTGTGTGCATGTGTAGACAGCAGCAGTCTCTGCAAGTCGAAAGTTGAGTTGAAAGTTGGGTTGAATTTCGTTCGATCTTCCATCCAAATTGACTGACACGCAAAGGCAACTGGCTTATTGGATCTGCGAATATGACCGGCTCAGCCGTGCTCCAACTTGAGGAGAGATAGTGAACGAAGATAAAAGTAAAAAATCCACTCGACATTGGTATGGTCTTGAACAACGGACTTCCTCAGAACAAACTACAACACATCTAAGCATATGAGGATGTGTAACGCTAAACCACCAGACCTGGCACCTTCTAACAATTACCTATGTGCATGTGTAGACGGCAGCATCCTCCTCGAGGAGTTGAATTTCATCCAATTGACTGACACTCTAAGGCAACTGGCTTATTGGATCTGCGAATATGACCGGCTCAGCCGTGCTCCAACTCGAGAAGAGATAATGAAAGAAAAGTAAAAGATCCACACAACATGGATATAGATATGGTCTGACCCCGAGTCGAACAGGGGACTTCTTCAGAACATAATTACGACATCTAAGCATATGAGGACATGTAATCGCTACACCACCAGACCTGGCACCTTGCAACAATTACCTATGTGCATATGTAAACAGCAGCATCCTCCGCAAGTCGAAAGTGGAGTTGGGTTGAATTTCGACCTTGCATCCAATTGACTGACACTTACTTAAATTAAAGGCAACTGGCGCTGTGTCGAAATTATTGGATCTGCGAATATGACCGGCTCAGCCGTGCTCCAACTTGAGAAGAGATAACAAAAGTAAAAAGAAAAAGGTACAATCGATATAGACATAGACATGATCTGACCCCGAGTCGAACGGGGGACTTCCTCAGAGCATAATTACAACATATCTAAGCATATGAGGACGTGTAACGGCTACACCACCAGACCTGGCACCTTCCAACAATTACCTACTTATGTGCATTGGCACATGTAGACAGCATTCTCAGCAAGTTGAAAGTCGAAGGTTGAGTTGAGTTGAATTTCGACCTTCCATCCAAAATTGACTGACACTCGAATTAAAGGCAACCAAAGCTGTACATGTGTTGAAATTATTGGATCTGCAAATGTGAAGCTGTTGAGATGAAAAAAATACATGGCCTGACCCCGGGTTGAACGAGGGACTTCCTCATATATGCTGATATACCGCCTAATGTAGGAGGGCGTGTAATCGCTACACCACCAGGCCGTCATGGGCTTGAGACTTTGGCCGTAGTCGACGCGGGTCTCAAGTTGCAAGTGGGTGTGTAAAAAGATATGTGCAGGCATTATAACTAGGAATTTGCCAGCCACACTGGTTGGAAGATTCAAATATTCAAGTTTTTCAGTAGAATTTTTGGTGAAAAATGTCGTTTGATTTTCAGAGACCGTCGATCCAAATTGACTGACACTTGAAGGCAACCAAATCTGTGTTGAAAAAAATACTACACCGGCTCAGCCGTGCTCCAACTCTTGATTCAGAGATAATGAACGAAAAAAAAGTAAAAAATGCCTTCGACCCTGCTATGGTCTGACCCCGAGTCGTACGGGGGGGCTTCCTCAGAGCACAATTACAACATATCAGCATATGAGGACGTGTAATCACTACACCACCAGACCTGGCACCTTCCAACAATTCCCTACCTATGTGGATATGTAGACGGCAGCATCCTCTGCAAGTCGAAAGTCAAAAGTTGAGTTGAAGTTGAGTTGAATTTCGACCTTCCATCCAAATTAAATTGACCGACACTCGAAGGCAACTGGCTGACTGGAGCTGCGAATATGACCGGCTCAGGCGTGCTCCATCTCTTGATTCAGAGATAATGAACGAAAGTGAAAAAGGAAAAAGATTCAGTCAATATGGACATGATCTGACCCCGAGTCGAACGGGGAACTTCCTCAGAACCAATCATGTTTCTACTCCGCAATGTAGGAGGACGTGTAATCGCTACACCACCAGACCATGGCACCTTCCAAAAATTATATACCTATGTGCATGCATCAACAGCATCGTCCGCAAGTGAGTTGGGTTGAATTTCGACCTTCCAACCAAACCGACACTTGAGTTTAAGGCAACTGGCACTGTGTTGAAGTTATTGGATCTGCAAATATGATCATGAAACTCTCTCAGTTAGCAGCAGCACATGATGTCACAACAGACAGGAAAGGACCGAACATATGCTTGTACAGCGCGACGGCCCGAAGTTACATCATCGAACCCGGCTGATCGGAACATTTCGGGCTGTCAGTTCCTCTTTTCTTTCAACCTAGACTCGTTACCAGTCTACGCTACATGAGGCTATTTGTTGTAGGCAGACTGGTACAACTCCACCCACACCAAAGGACTGCGCCCGGAGTTTGAATCTTTGGCGGGAGCCGAGGCTGCCGATCGAGTGGCTGTGTTAAGCCATCAATTCCCCGCCAAAATCAACTTTTTCACAGCTCGGCCTCTGGGGCATAAAATCCTATTCTGAAGAGACAGAACTCAACTTCAAAGGTTCTAAATTACCGATTTGAAAAAAAAATCTGATAGACCCCCAGATTTGAGCAAAACCCAGCTTCGGGGAAATCTTTTCAAACTCCGGGCACAGCCCTTTGATTAAGTCCGAGTTGTACCAGTCTGCTTATGGTAAACAACCTCACCCTCTCTTTTGCCGTAGCGCAGACTGGTTACGAGTCTACTTTCAACCATCGATACGGTTTCCCCGACGGCGTTGTATGCGCTGTGATGTTCCTCTTCCCGCGCACTACTGCACTCACCAGACGCCCAGTACTCCGCGACCACGAGGACTCCCTCTCTCGGACTCGAACTCGAACTGGACATCCACCGCGGTGAACGGAATGAAGTGCACGTCCCCCCCTTCTCGATCTTTCGAATCGGAATTTCCGCCACAAATATTCTTCAAGTTGCGAACCCCGAAATAGCCTGAGTGCACCCTTGAATCGGTATATTTCTCCTGGCCATGGTTCATTCCGCCGTTTCGTCGCCTGCGCATGTTCTCGTTCCCGATCGCGATATCTCAATCTCAATCTTGCACCTGGGACAGACAGTACAAGCCGCTCACTCGGGACTCGGAAGCCAACTGTAGTCACGGCTGTCAATTTTTCGTCGAACTCGGAACAGCTCTCGGAACCCAAGTCACTCCAACAGCGCACGACGCCTGGTTGGTTCCCGCCCTGAGATGGATGCAAAAGTCGGAATCGGTTCGATTGGACTCACCTGGATTCTCCTACGAGCTCAAGCGGACCTTGCGTTGGCGCGGTGACTTGACAAAAGCTATGAGGTATCAATTTGAACTTCACCGCGCTCCGCGCCGGGTCCGGCTCTATAAAAAGCGACGCCACGAGGCTCCTTACCTCCATCATCGATGGGTGAGTCAAAGAGCAGTCGTACGTTGCTGGCCCAAATACTAACAGCATGATATACCTAGGGTTCAACTCTTGGTCAGGCTGGAAATCTATCGCGGGTACGTGGGCGTACTATGCTTAGGTTTCACACTCAACTGACACGGCCACCTACGAGATGCGTCTCGAGCCGTAGGGGAGCACACGAGTTGGGGGGCTCAAGCTGCTGCTGGTGCGTGGTGTTTTCTCTCTGGTGTTGTGCTCGAATATGGCGCGGACGTCTCACACTCTCACCCTCGCTCTCCTCGTAACAGATGTCGCATGTCGAGGCGCACAGGCCGTTCACCGGGCTACATCCCCGGTCGTAAAGGAGAAGCTCGGACAGGCCCAGAAGAATCTGAACAAGGCTGTCGTATTTGCAGGTGGTCATGCACAGCGAGGCGGTCAAGCAGCGGCGGGTGAGTCCCCTGATCGTCAATGTACCATTCCAAATTAACCACCTCCGCTCGTCTTGCTCTATTAGCTGGTGTACGACGCGGCGCCCAGTTCATTGACGATGCTACTCCGCCCGTTGTGAAGGAAAAAATTGGTGTTGCTACTGGTACGTATGTTTACTGACACTGTGTTACTCTTCGGCCTCAATGTCAGTAGATGCGGCACGCCGGGGCGCGCAAGCCATTGGGGATGCTACCCCGCCAGCGGTGAAGGAGAAAGTTGTACAGGTGTCTACTTTCATCAACAGTGAGTGTATATGGATGTGCGCTAAACAGGCTAAGCCTATCCTCACACTTTCACCCTTTAGCTCGACCTGCCGCTGTCAAATATGCTGTCCCTGCGGCTGTAGGAGCTGCCGTCCTCGCGGGTCCCCTCGCTGCTCCTATCCTTGGTGGTATATACGGTATCGGCGCAGCTGGACCAGTAGCCGGAGGCACCTTCGCTGGAATTCAAGCCGGAGGCGCCGTTGTAGCTGGCAGTTCTTGGGCCGTTATTCAGAGTATTGCGATGGGCGGCGTACTGCCCGCCATAGGGGTTGTGAGCGCTGGTGCCATTGGAGGGGCTGTCGGTGCAACCGGCGGGGCCATCGCTGATCATGTTCGCGGTGCGGATGGAACCGACGCTGGCGCTGCTTCAGATACTGTCGGCGCCGGCGATAGTGCTCAACCTAAGGAGAAGGACAGCGTTGGGTGAAATCATGTTCCTGATTATGGCCTGATCTGACGAAGTGCAGAGGCGAAGAAAGCACAGTAAATGCCAAGAAGTCGAAGTTGTAATTTTTTCGTTGTGTACTGCGTGGATTGAACAGTCAACGAGCCACTGGCACATTATTGGCATGAAATTTTATTAGTTTCGCGATTTAGGTGAATATGTCAATTCGAAGAGCTTACTATTTCCTCCGCAATCGTACTTCGGACGAACTCACAACACTGCTTGTTTCCATAACGGGACACGAACTGACCTGTCTCTTCCACAGTCCAACGGTGAATGAATTTGAACATCATATCGACCGACTGCTCGGGCGTACTTAATCGGCCCTTTGAAGTCCGGTAACAAAGTCTTAATAGGGGAAGTTAAAGCGGTCAAAAAGGGTGATAGTCGAGGGCAGGAAGACACGGCAAAGCGGATCCCCGTCGGGACGCCTTGGCCGGTAATTTATAGTTTGGAAGCCGGAAGATACAGTAGTTGTCCGATTTCGCATGAGGATTTGGGGAAAAGTCCGTCATTCTGAGGGGTTTTGGACAGTAAACTTTGGAGGAGCTGTTCCTCCAGGTTCAAATTGGACTTACCAGAGCAAAATGAAAGCGCTCGCTCGGAACCACAGAAGGGTTTTTTGGTGCTCGCTCCTGATTGCTGGGTCACTGATTTCATGATATCCCACAAGCAGCGCTCACTCGGAACCATAGGTGGGTTTTTTTGGTGCTCGTTAATTCCACCCTGGAACCGGCGTTCCTGAGCGGGACCATGCCGTGTAATCCCACCTACCTACGTAGCTACCACGAGTATCCCGTTATCACCGACCCATGAATGGCTTCCATTCAGGAAATTCACGCGGTTTGCAACAGAACAAGCAAATGGTCGCTCCGGGAGACGTCCGTTTCTGATAATTTCCACTGATTGCCGATAAATGAACATTGTTTTCTACGCGCCGCGCACGACCCACAATGCAGCCACCCCACCCGTGAAAACAGTCGATTCCCCGTAAATTCTATTAATTCACTGGGAACATATGAGCTTGAGTAATTCACCTGCTGCTCAAAATCTGCTTTCAAATTTCAACTTTTGCAAATCTGGTTCAAGTCGACAAGCCAAAGGCCCGCCTCGCGGCCTTTTCGTCTTGAGGGTAGTAAGTATCAAGTGATGATTGAAAGCGGCAGGCCCGTCAGAGGAGACAAAGTTTTGCACCCTCCCGAAAAAAAGAAGCCAACGACGCCCAAAAACACCCGGATAAAGAGTTTGAATCACGGAAGACAAAGTAATCAATAGCACTCGAAATGGTCTTAATCCCGCTTCGGATTCTCTTCCCCCATTCGACGAGGATGCACACACCGCGGAGTAGAAAAAAAGTGTCTCATGTAGAGTCCGGACGGCCTGACCCTGATTCAAGGCGGGCACTTCGAAAGAGGATCTGGGGTCCATAATTAAAGAGGATGTAACCACTCGCACACCAAAAAAGTATTCAGGCCCAAACGTCCTCGAAACCAGAAGTTTGCATCAACGGAAAAGGCATCTCACCGTCCTTACGCTCCCATCTAATAGGCTGCGATTGCAGTTCAAAAAAATGGAAAGAAAATCTACCTTCGCCATATGGCCTGGCCCAGAGTCCAAGAAGGTTTTTCCTTAGTGACAACTACCAACTACGTACAGGCCTTTTCTGCTGACGTGATTTTAGATCCCGAGCTGAATATGTATTCTGTTTTCAACCTTCCCGAAACGGGTGGCTGCAGAGGCACTAACCTCTTCAGAACCTTGGATCTCTCTGCACTGGAAGACCTCGAGATTGATTTGATATTGACCCGTTTGAATGAAACCCCTGAGCGGTGGAAGCATCTTTTGTCTGTGTTTTACATTCCTACTCTTAAGGATGCGTACCGCGAATTGAACCGTGGGAACGATCGATTGCTCACCAACGCAAGTTGCAACAAAGTAATCTTGAAGTAATCGCTGCGCGAATTTGGGGGTAGTTTGAGCTACGGACTGATCGGTGTGCGGCCTCAGATGACCAGAGGCAGCTCTATGTTCGGGATGCGCTAGAGTTTCCGCATCTATCAAACGACAACCATCCGTGGCATTTATAAAAACGCGAAATGCGGCCTCATAATCAGATTGTTACAAGAGTTCTATTATTTACTAGCTACACTCTGCGAGACAGGAAACCGGATCAAAAGCGGTTACCGTGGAGGACAATATCCATCCCAAGCTCGGACAACGCCTTCAGGCGCTTCATAATTTCCGAGGAAGGAGCACGACCGGGAGGCCCAGCGAAAAATACGGAACAATATTCAAAACTCTGCAACTGTGAGGACGCCCTCTGCACCAGTCGTCGTTCTGGATTCGAGCATGTCAACAATGATGTCGTAATCGATTGGCCATCCAGCGTCCAATTTGACCGCGGTCAGTCGA